AATAGACCCATATATATTATAATTAAATGTAATAAAACATTAAAATAAAAACGTCTTGAATTTGTATACAAAATACGAAGGAACTTTTTCCCCGATCTTTTATACTAAGTAAAGGTTTAACAAAATAGTACTCAATAACTTGGGGAATGATTCTGCCCGTCAACATGAATAATTTTTATTATGGGATCATCTTCGAAATGGTCAATGGCCAATGGCAGTGTAAAATAGCAACTTAACGCTGTTGTGTTTCGTATGGTGAGTATAGAGAACCGGAGACTCTTTTTACTGGAAATGAGGCGTTCCATCTTAGTCCTCAGGGGTTGCAACGCATCTGCATTTTGATCCTTAATCGAGGATAGATGTAGATGTCTATGGGCCACAGCAACCACTTGCCATCAGGTGGACTGTGTGCCCATTTGTCACCCTGATCCTATAAAAAAATATCAGTCAGTTATTCCATACAAAATTTCTTACAAACTTGCTCAATATGGAAGACCTGATTTTTCTTACGATTTAGAAGACAGATCTATAGTAAAAATTGTTCATATTGACGCGTAGAATAGAAATCCTACAAAGCACTATTTTGATTACACCATATATGTAACTATTTTTTTTAATTAATTTGTCAATATTAGACATGTAAATAAAAAAAATTGAACTGATAAAAATGAAGCCTTATCATTTATGTCATTTAGTCAGAAGAAAAACCTATACATAATATACATAAATATATTGATACATTCGTTATTAATAAACTATTCATTTTTAAGTATTTCTGGAAGATATTCATAACTATGAAGTTAACTACTCAACCATAGTATAAAATAAATTTTCCCGTTAATCGGGTAATAGTTAAGCTGCTGGGATATACAATTTTTCACGCACTCTAGCATCTTTGCTAATTGTCTTATACACACTTCAATATTGAGTTGCCGCATTCACGGAGCTGTTACTTTCATATAGCACGGTATCTAGTCAGAGCGCGCGATGACTTATTAATAATCTAAGAGTATAGTTGTAACACGAATGGGTCGGCTGGACCGGGGAAGGACCACGCTCTCACAGAATACCAACGTAAAATAGCAGCTTAACACTGCTATGTTTCGTATGGTGAGTGTAGAGAACCGGAGACCCTTTTTACTGGAAAAGAGGCACTCTATTTTAGTGCTCACGGGTGACAACGCATCTGCATTCACAAACGAGGATAAATGTAGATATTATCATAAACGACTTAGAACTTTGATGATAACGATTTATTTTGTTACCACTTATTGATACAGTAATAATATAAATCGTTTAATATTCTCTTACCTAAACGTCAAATTTTTTAAGTAAAACCTATATACGCGAGTTACGCCGCGGGCACAGCGAAATAATATATATAAATATGTAATAAAATAATATGTGGACGAGTGATCTATGACCTGTTATATTGACTATAGAATCACTAATTTTCAGGACGTCGACTAGCAAAATTGTCAACCCACTTGACTCGAATGATGGTAGTACTCTCATTACAAAATCCAAACCAAAGAAAACGTTGAAAAAGTCTTGTGAAGATAGTAATATTAAGAAGAGGAAAGTCGTTCTGGAATCAGATAGCGAATCGGAAGCTGAGCCTATAAAAAAGAAAATGCACAAGAATTTGCATTTGATTTAGCGGTAAGTTCATTTTAAATTTATGAATACAATTGTCGCATTGGTCAGTGACCCAAATTGCCAAGCTGAGGGTTGTGGGTCCCAGTCGATGCAAATGTTTATTTCCCGGATAAATATTTGTACTCAGGTCATGGATCTTTATCGTTTTATTTTATTCTTGTCATATTTAACCAATTTTAGTTTATTCATATTAGTAATAGGTGTTTTTGAAAAAACTTTTGTTTTTGAGTAATATCATCGAGATCGCCATCACGAACATTTTAATTCTTACTGATATCAAACAGCACAATAATATTTTTTTTAGTTTATAAATATTATGAGCCTATTTTTCTATACTATACTAACATTAATATTAGAAATAATTACAGGGAGATAAGGAGTTGCAAGAACCCATTAGAGCGACGGCGCTGAGAAGTTTTATATCGCGGCGCGCGGGTTCGGGCTATACGTTGCAGAGGGCAGATCCTGCGAAGACGGGTGACTACTACGTAGAGCTACGTGTGTATAGAATAGAATAGAATAGAATGATTTTTATTCAATATGGATTATTACATAATACTTATTGAAAGTCATTATTTTATTTACCACTGGTTCGGAAAATACCTCTGTCCTGGGAAGAACCAGCAAGAAACCCAGCGGGACTTTTTTTTTTAAACATAATTTCACTTAACAATAATTTTGATTATACAATTTTAAATGAATTTTCATAGAACCAGCATGGTGGCGATCACCTTATTCCCAGGGGTTATTTTCACTCATGTATTCCTTGATATTATAATAACCCTTTTTGTACAGTTTTTCTTTAATAAAACTTTTTAACATAACACGAAAGAAGCCGAAAAGCTTGGCTCCGATTGGTGGAAGCGTTCGCTCGTCACTCTGAAGTCTGCTGTAGAAGACAACAGCCTTACGTAGGAAGCTGAGACAAAGTTAGTAGCAGCGGCAAAGGACGAGTACGCTGCTATACAACCAATTTTATACCCTGCTAATGTTTCCTAAACTTTGATTAGGCACCTATAATAAAGTAATTGCGCTCATAATAGCTTAATATTAAATGTTATTGACTTGTAGCATATTATTTTCTTAACTTTATATCTTTTCCTTACAGCAAGGAAAAAATAGGAATTAAAATCTGAATCTAAAGAAACAAAAAGCCAGATATTGAAAGTTTAATTTTAAAATACCTGAATGAAGTAATTATTTTTAAAAATTGCGAAAAAATGAAAACGAAAAACTAAAATCTAAAATTTGAATCTAAAAACAAAAAAACATAATATAAATAAATTAAAAAAAAAAACATAATATAAATAAAAAAACATAAAATAAAGTAATTATTATTTAAAGTTGTGAATCATTTTATTATATTATTGTGCGATATACCATATTATTTTCAAAACTGTGTCTCCTTACAGCAACGAAAAATTAAAAACTAAAATCTGAATCTAAAAGAACAAAAAGCTGGATTGAAACTTAAATTTTGCAAATACCAAGAATCTAGACAAGTAATTATAAGTTAGAGCTGTTAATTAGAATTTAAATCTATAAGACAAATATAAATAAAGATTGAAATACATATTTATATACAAGTTTTTGTGTAGTATTACACTAAACATCAATAATAGATTTATGATGGAAAATGAAATTCTGCCAGGACTGTAATGCATATACATCAAATGATTCACCACATAAGAAGAGTAATATACATAAAATTAATTGTTTACTTAGAACTGAGATTGATACTACTGTTTCCATTTCACACGTATCCAGCTCATAATTCATGTAATTTAAACAATAGAAAATGTAATTTCATTCCTATTATATTGCATAATCTTTCTGGATATGATTGACATTTATTTATAAAAGAACTTTCAAGTGTAGCGGTCGTATAAATTAAATTCCAATAAACAAAGAGAAATTTATTTCTTTTACAAAGTTTTTTCCAATCGATACGATATGCAGAAGTCAGCGCAATTAAAATTTATAGACTCCTTTAATTTCCTGAGTTCTAGTTTAGATCATTTAGCACAAACTCTAAATCCTGAAGACTTAAAACATTTGCGAACATTCTTTCCAGATGAAAATTTATTCCGATTATATCTTAGGAAGGGTGTATATTGCTATGACTATGTAGATTCTTGGGAAAAGTATAAAGAAACTCAGTTACCAGAGCAATCAAATTTTTACAATAAATTAACATCAGAATCTATAACAAACGAAGATTATAATCACGCTTTAACTGTGTGGCAAAATTTTGGTATTAAAAACTTAGGTGAATATACCGAGTTATATCTAGAAATGCGATGTCTTACTACTTTGCGACGTTTTTGAGAAATTTAGATCCATGTGTTTGAATTATTATGGTCTCGGTCCTTGTCATTATGTTTCATCACCTTCAAAGCTTTCAAAGCCTACTTTGTTATTCGAAAAACGGAAAACATTCTGATGATAAAGAATAAACGTGTGTTGTGTAAAACAAAATGTGAAACAATTAAACATTACTACAAATTTCTTATGTTATATATGTGTACATATATAGAAATTGAATTTTAAGCTCCTTTTTGCAATACACAATAATAAAAGTTATAGAAAATGCATAATAATATTAACCTACACCAAATGCACTGGAATACTAGAAAATGCTTTAGAGTTACTTTTCATATGTATGTCGCCTTTGTTCATCTATTCTAACCAGATAGTATGTACCAGGAAATAATACATCTATGGAACCAGGTGGTTCATACGGTGCTGTTTGATAATTATTTGCTCTCACATCCATTAGGTCTGTGAATACACTTGCCTGGACACATTGTGTTTTATCTAACATTGACACTGTATCATTAAGCAATTTCATAAGACGTTCCAATTTTCCACAACAATAAGAAAATAATTCAAGCTTTTTACCGATCATTTTTTTTTTATAGTATAGGGTGACAAACGAGCACACAGTCCACCTAATGGTAAACGACTGATGTGGCCCATAGACATCTACATTTATCCTCGTTTGCGAATCAAAATGCAGAAGCGTTGCCATCCGTGCGGACTAAGATAGAATGCCTTGCTTCCCGTAAAAAGGGTGTCCGGTTCTCTACAAGCACCGGTTCGAAACACAGCAGTGTTAAGCTGTTATTTGACGCTGGTATTCTATGAGAGCGTGGTCCTTCCCCGGTAAAGCCGACCCATTCGTGCTACAACTATACTACTAATATAGCTGCAGCATGGCTCTACCACGTAATTGTTCTGGGAATTTACTGACCAGATATGATACAAGCCCTCCATATAATGATGAGGTGTACATGTTTCCTACATTTCCCGTAATGTGCAAAAACGGCTTAGTTTTCTCCTCAAATAAACTTTGATTGTATGTCATAAATGCTTTCTCTACATCTCGATTGAAATATGTTACGAACACCACAATCAAAAACCAATGGTGCATCTGGTCCTATTAACATTGCAACAGCTCCAGCACTTCCTGTTGGTCTAGCAGGTCCTTTTCCATACACTGCTATATCACCTGCTATCACAATTGCTTTTCTACCATCCCAAGAGGATGACTCAACCCAGTTCATTGCATTGAAAAGAGCTGCTGTACCTCCATAGCAAGCATTGGTAGAACCAATCCCTTCTACATCAGTAGCCCCTTCTTTAGCAAATAACGTCATAAGAAAGGTCTTTACACTTTTGCTTTTATCTATTATAGTTTCAGTACCAATCTCAAGGCGTCCAATATAATGTAAATTAATGATATTCCGTTCTATAGGTCCATGTAGGGCAGTATGACATACTGAATTAATATCTTCGCTATCAGAGCAAAAACCCATTTTACTTTTATTTTACTTAAAATACAACTCCATGGCAAGAATGCCCACATTTTCTGCTTTTTGAGCCATACTTTACTAATAATAACCTGAAGATTGCACTATTAAATCAACCCATTAATATTTTAGAATTATGCGAAGAAACGTGTTTGGGGAGGGGGGGGGCCTGAGGTTTTTGACAACCCAATGTCATAGTTAACCAAGGCTACCTCCAGATTAAAATTAATACAAAACAACGGGAATATAAAATAAGTTAATATACGCGATAAAATCCGTAAAAACTAGTTTTATTTAAATTTTTTATAATTTTCATCAGCTTCATATATTCATATCGTATAACTGGCGACCTTAAGGTATGTTAATTCGATTATAAGTATTGTATGAATCATAATCTTGTGAACAATACGCTGATAGACACAAACACTTCCTAAGTTAAATAGTAGTCCTAAGGCAAATATTTCTCAATCTATGGGAGAGTCCTAAGTTGCACCGTGGACTTGATGGTCCTATTGCAATGCCAGTCATCATCATCATCATTATTAGAGCCCTTCACAAGTCCACTGCTGAACATAGGCCTTCCCCAAGGAATGCCACAAAGCACGGTCCTGAGCCATCTGCATCCATTGACTTCCTGCATGACTTACCAGGTCGTCACTTCATCTACTAGGGGGATGCCCAACACTTCGTCCGCCTTTACGAGGCTGCCACTCGAGAACCTTTTTTCCCCATCGGTTGTCAGTTCTTCGAGCTATATAGCCGGCCCATTGTCACTTCAGATTACTAACCCGTTCGGCTATGTCGGTCACTCTGGTTCTATTACGGATATCCTTATTTCTTAGTTTATCACGCAGAAAAATTCCTAGCACAGCCCTCTCCATAGCTTGCTGAGCGACCTTGAGCTTTCTCATCCGGCCAGCAGTAAAGAACCACGTCTCAGTTCCGTAGGTCATCACTGGCAACACGCACTGGGTGTACAGTCTCGTTTTCAAGGTTTGAGGTATACCTGACGAGAAGATGTGCCCTAATTTCCCGAACGCTGCCCAACCGAGTTGAATCCGTCGATTGACCTCTCGGTCGAAGTTGGACTTACCTAGTCGGACTATTTGTCCCAGGTAAACATACTCGTCAACAACTACGAGCTTAGTGTTCCCAACAACTACCGGCATAGGTGTGACATGGACATTAAACATGATCTTAGTTTTGTCCATGTTCATCTTAAGACCTATCCGTTGGGAAACACTCTTGAGGTTATTTAGCATAGTGCTTAGGTCCTCCAGCGATTCTGCCATAAGGACTATATCGTCGGCAAATCGAAGGTGAGTGATGTACTCGCCATTGATGTTGATACCGTATCCTTTCCAGTCCAGAAGCTTGAAAACGTCTTCCAATGCAGCGGTGAAGAGTTTCGGGGATATGACGTCACCCTGTCTTACACCTCTCTGCAATTGAATAGGTTTCGTACTCTGGTTCTGTACTCGGATAGCCATCGTAGCCCTATTGTACAAGCACTTCAACACTTCGATATACCGACAGTCAACTTGGCACCGCTGAAGGGACTGCAGCACCGCTCATTTCGACGGAATCAAAGGCTTTCTCATAGTCCACATACGCCAGACATAGTGGCAAATTGTACTCTTCGGACTTCTGTGCAATTTGCCGAAGGGTATGTATGTGGTCTATGGTGCTAAAGCCCTTTCGGAAACCGGCTTGTTCGGGAGGCTGGAAGTCGTCAAGTCTGCGCGCGAGACGATTCGTAATGACTCTCGAAAACAGCACAAAGACGCGGCTCAGAAGGGAAATCGGTCTGTAGTTCTTCAAGAGAGCGTTGTCACCTTTCTTGAAGAACAAGACCACCGCACTTCTGCTCCACGCCTCCGGTGTAATGCCACCATGGAGGACGGAATTAAAGAGCTTCTGAAGGACTTCAAGTACCGGTTTTCCACCCGCTTTCAGAAGCTCCGCTGTAATTCCATCCTCGCCTGGGGCCTTACCGTTTTTAAGGTGCTGGAGAGCCATTCTAATCTCGCTGAGACTGACGTCCGGGATATCTTCGGAATAGTGTCGGATGAGACTCGCTCTTGGATCGTTACTCACACTTGCGTGTGGCTCCAACGATGACGTGTACAACTGCCCATAGAACCTCTCAATCTCACTCAAAATCTCAGGTGCCCCGGAAACGATGCTGCCACATTCTGTCTTCAGCTTTGACAGTTGGCGCTTTCTGGCAGACAGATCTCTGGCAAAGACTTTGGAGCCTTGGTTCCGCTCGATCGCTTCTTCAATACGAGCTGTATTGAAGTTGCGTAAGTCCCACCGCATGCATTTTGAGATCTGTCTGTTCAGATGCCTGTATGCTGTCAAGTCTGTTGAAGAATGTAGCTTCATCTCCCGTCTAACAGCCATGAGATTAAGAGTGTGATCGGAGAGTTTTTGTGTTCTTCTGCGGCGGGTCTTGCAGAACTTAGCTCCGACCGCATGGACAGTTTCCACGAGCTTGTCATTCATATCGTCCACTTTATTGCAGTCTTCTAGGCACTGAAAACGGTTTTGTAACTCGAGCTGAAAGGTTTCGGGACTTTGGATTAGAGCACGAGGGGGACGGAGCGTTGACTTCATTAGACGAGACCTCTCCAACTTAACGTTTAGGTTCAGTGTGCCTCTAACCATTCGGTGATCGCTACCAGTTTTCACCCTTGCGATCACGGAGACATCACTGAACAGTTGTCGTCTGGTCGTCATAATGAAGTCAATCTCATTTTTTGTCGAACCGTCGGGGCTCGACCAGGTCCACTTCCTGTGGGGCCGCTTCTGGAAGAAAGAGTTCATCATAAAGAGTCCCTCTTTCTCCATGAAGTCGGCCAGCTGCTGGCCCCTTGGGTTCCGTTGCCCTATTCCAAATTTCCCTACTTTCAGCTCACCGTTCTCTCTTGTGCCTAGTTTTGCATTGAAGTCTCCCATTAACACCGTATATTGGGTTTTGGAGGAATGCATGGCTCTAGAGATATCCTCATACATTTCCTCCACCTCCTGATCGGGGTGTGCCGAGGTTGGTGCGTAAACCTGTATGACCTTCAGCGAATACCGTTTGGTGATTCTGAGTATAAGGTACGCAACCCTCGTCTACACACTCTCAATCTTTACAACGTTGTTAACGGGAGACTTGTGGACGATAAATCCGACACCTCCTTGGGACAGATGGTCGCCCTCCCGGTAATAGAGCAAGTTGCCGGATTCGAGGATTACCGTGTCCTCCCCCTCTCTTCGGACTTCGCATAATCCTATAATATGCCAGCGTAACTTGTCTATCTCTTCTTCCAGCTCCACAATCTTCTTGTCAGTCCTCAGGGTGCGAGCGTTGTATGTTGCCAGGTCGAGTCATTGTAGGTGGTAACCGAACCTCCACCGGAGATTCTTAGCACCCCCTGCCCCACCGTTACCATGGTCGCCACCGTAGCCAGGAATAGCGGGGCCGCCGGGGACTGGGGGCCGTCTCTTCGTAACTTTCATCATGGGGGGTATATTGCCATAGTTGCCACGCTTGACAAACGGGTTGCCAACCGCAGTTTTTTATTGTAGTTTTGCCATTACCAGGAAGATGCTGCTGCCCATCTCCTGCCTGTTTCCCTTTGTCGCCTTTTACGACACCCACGGGAAGATATGGGGTAGTGGATATTCTTAACCGCCACTATACGGCTACATCATACAAAGATGTTTATAAATTATGACAAAACTTGATTTTATACGTAACTTCCTGGCGCGGTAGACGTTGTTCTGTCCTTACTGGTACAAAGGTTGAGCGAGGAGTTTCTCTGTGAATTCACTTTGTACTTTATGCAGTGTAAATATAAATCTATTAACATCTAACTCGACCACAGCGCGTACTACCAAATTCTGTATTTTCTTTTTTGGCACTTAGCCAACACACTTAGGCCATTCTGAAAGTTTTGCGAAAATAAAAGAAACTACATATCAATGATTAAAGTATTTATTAAATTTTTGGTCATCTTGTTCGATATGTTGTACCTACACACTTTTCAGGTATCGTGTACTGTTTTCTTTAAAACTGGAATAAACCGCTCTTCGGGACAGTTTTAGAGGACGCCCACCCATGTAACATATGCCGATAGATAAAAGTACTACATTTATTTTGCCATTTTTTCCATACACTGCTTTCTAACATTGCTATCTAAAATGCCTGAACTAGGTGTCATGATATATCGCGCGGCTCAGAAACGTGACATAAGCCAATGAAACCGCGGGGCACAGATAGTTATTAAAAGAACCTAATTTAACATCAATCTCTTTGAAACTTCCTCCATTAGTATTAAGTTTAGCTCATTATTTAAATCTTATAATCTAGTTTAGTATATTAGGTTTTGGAGGAATGCATCGCTCTAGAGATATCCTCATACATTTCCTCCGCCTCCTGATCGGGGTGTGCCGAGGTTGGTGCGTAAACCTGTGTGACCTTCAGCGAATACCGTTTGGTGATTCTGAGTATAAGGTACGCAACCCTCGTCGACACACTCCCGATCTTTACAACGTTGTTAACGAGAGACTTGTGGACGATAAATCCGACACCTCCTTGGGACAGATGGTCGCCCTCCCGGTGATAGAGCAAGTTGCCGGATTCGAGGATTACCGTGTCCTCCCCCTCTCTTCGGACTTCGGATAATCCTATAATATGCCAGCGCAACTTGTCTATCTCTTCTTCCAGCTCCACGATCTTCTCGTCAGTCCTCAGGGTGCGTGCGTTGTACGTTGCCAGGTCGAGTCGTCTAAGGTGGCAACCGAACCTCCACCGGAGATTCTTAGCACCCCCTGACCCGCCGTTACCATGGTCGCCACCGTAGCCAGGAATAGCGGGGCCGCCGGGGACTGGGAGCCGTCTGTTTGTTGCTTTAGTCATTGGGGGGTATTTCCATAGTTGCCACGCTTGGCGAGCGGGTTGGCAACCGCAGTTTTTTTATTATAATTTTGGCTATTATCAGGAAGATGCTGCT